CGGTTTGGCTTGGTGGATGGAGCGTCGACCTGCGGACTGAGGGGTCCCGGGTTCGATTCCGGTCGGGGGCATGTGCGTTGGTTGCGGGCACATCCCCAGTAGGAGGTGTGCAGGAGGCAGCTGATCGATGTTTCTAACTCTCTATCTCTCTCCCTTCCTCTCTGTAGGAAATCAATAAAATATATTTAAAAAAACAAAAAAACAATCTGTTCTGGACATCTATATATATAAAACACTAATATGCAAATAGACAGAACAGCAAAACAACCAAACAACTGGTCGCTATGACATGCGATGACCACCAGGGGACGTGCATGGAACATGGAGAGCATCGGCCGTGGCAGGATGGTGGAGCAGGTGAGCGGGGGCGCCAGACCAAAGTGGGGCGCCGGTCACTGTCATGGGACGAGCCTCTGGTGGATACTGAAAATTCTTTGCTCCTGTCCTCCGTGGTCCCACCTGGCACTCACACCTGCGCCAGCACGGGCCCCAATTACCCCTCAGGGCTTCTCCACCTCCCCCTGCTCCTGAGGGGCAATCAGGACCAGCAGCTGCCTCTCACACCCGTTGCCAGCACTGGACCGCCACTTGCACCCACTGCTGGCACATGGCACTGGTCCCAACTGCTCAGTGCCAGTCAGCGGGTGGGAGCAGCGGCTGCCAGCCCTGATCACCCCTGAAGGCTTCTCCATCTCCCCCTGCTCCTGAGGGGTGACTGGGGCAGCAGCCACTGCTCACACCCACTGCTGGCGCTGGCCCCAATGGCTCCGCGCCCGTCAACAGGTGCAAGCAGGGCTGGCACCACCCAACAGCATGTGGGAGCAGAGGCAGCAGGAGCGGGGTTGCCAGCAGAGAGAGGACCGGGCTATGCAGCAAGAGGGGCTGGGTGGGGGAGTGGAGAATGGGCCAAAACCTGCCCCTGTACTGACTGCAGCCTTGCAGCCCACAGTTCCTTTCAAGGTGCACAAATTGGTGCACTGGGCCCCTAGCTTTACATAAATGGAATCACATACTCTGTAGCCTCTTGTATCTGGCTTCTCTCATTGAGTGTCATGCTTTCAAATTTCACTCATGTTGTAGCGAGTGTTAGTGCTTCACTCCTTTTCATGGCTGAGTAACATTCCAGTGTGTGGATGGACACTTTCTTTATCCGTTCATCCCTTGATATACATTTGGGTTGTTTTCACCTGTTGGCTTTGTAATGCTGTACAAGTTTTTGTGTGGGCATGTTTTCACTTCTCCTGATGTTAAGGGCAGAAATAGAATAGGAGGAACGCACAAGGCCAAAATGGTGAGGGATGACAAATTTATTCGATCACCCGCACACCAGGTGGCTGAGCCCCAAATGGCTCCAGCATCCTGTGACAGGAATCAGCGGTTTTTAAAGGACTTTTGGCTGGCTTTTTCTGGGCGGAGAATTCTCTGTGCAGGTCCAGAGGGGAGAGATAATGGAATGTGGTCTCAGCAAAAAGGAATGACCATAGTGAAATGGCCTAAAGGTGGGTTCCAGGGGACGGGGTATCAATTCAATTATTTGATCAGACCTCACAGGGACTAGCTATAATTATAAATTATAAGAAATATTAATTATGCTCTGTTAACCGTGATTGTTCTGTTCTGATTAGAGAAGGCACATTCTACCTGGCTGAGAACTCTATGCCCCGGGAAATAGAAATTAACCTAGGAATGCAGTCAGTCCCGTTCTCCTTTCCCAAGAACTGCCTGTCATCATGGAAAGATTAACAGCCTTGTTGCTGAAACAACGTGGCCCAGGAGGCACCTGCCCTTTGCCAGCCCGTTGGACCCCAGCCCGCGTGGCCTGTAACCTAGTAACCATTATACCTTGCCAACTTCCCCATATATATAAGTGGCTGGCTTATGGGAAGGAGCAGAGCAGATTTTTGTGGATGACCTGCTGCTCTCACATACAGCTGCCATTTTTGGAATAAATGCTCATGTATGATTCAACCCCGTCTCTGTTTAACTGGCTCAAATAGAGACAGGCAGCTCAGACCCATTGCATGTCCCGTTTCACTTGTGCACCTAGGAGTAAAAATGCTGGGTCCCGTGGTGACTGTTTGAGGAGCGGCCCCATTTTACATGCCCACCCATGAGTGTGTGGGTGGGGGCCTGGTCTCTGGGCCTCAGGCTCTACGAGGTGGCACAGCATGGGGAGGGGTGTGAAGGAGCAGGTTGCTACTCTGCGTCCTGGTGCTGAGGCCACTTGATCGGTGGCAGGACTCTGAGTCGTCAGCACTGTGGTGTGGCTCTGCCAGCCTCTCTGCTGTCCTGAGGCCTCCCTGCCCTTGTGAGCCCTTTTTCCTATTAAAACCCACCCTGACCTTCTCACTCTCCAACTTTGGCCCCCGTTCCCCTTTGCATCTAGCCACATCCCCAGTTCCTTTCCTCCTGCAAACCTGCCCCATCCAGGCATTCAGTTCACCTGTTCCTTGGATCTGTTCGCCTCATGGTCATGAACAACACCTACTTAACTAACCTTTGCCCAATCCTCAGGCCTGTTCAGACTCATTGCTTGGTGGCTTTGATGGCTGCTCCCTATTCCTCCTCCAGACACCTTTTCACCTGGTTCCAGAACACCTGGCCACCTCTCGCTGCCCTTATTCTATGTAAGAGAACTTACATAACATTAGTGTCAGGTGCTGAGTCATTAGCAGGTCACCCTAGGAAGTGGGTGCTGCTTGTGGCACGGGGGAGGGAGGCAGTGAGGCACAGAGAGGTTAAATAATTGTGCTTGGGTCACATAGCCAAGATCGGAGCCCATGCAGCCGGTGCAGGGTCTGTGCACACTTCTGCCTTCTGCAGCTCCCTTTTCTCCTCCTGGCCTCTGGTCTGGATCTGCTCAGTGAACTCATTCAGGCTCCCAACTCCAACCTCCACCCTGTGCCCATCGTGCCCGCATGTCTGTCTCCACTTGAACCTCACCTTGAATTCCAGACTCGGATCCTCCCCATTTCCTCAGTGTCTCCCCTTGGGGTCTTACCAGAGCCCCCTAAGCTCTGCACATCAAAGAGTCCTTCCCTACCTGCCCACTGAGTCTTTCCATCCCAGTCAGGGCAGCTCTGTTTTCCCCCATCTCCACGTCCTGTCCTGCAAATCCTGCGGGACACCTGGATCCGGACCACTGCTCCCCACTCTCTGGTTAGGACATCCTCCCCAGCCCCTTCCTTGGTCTCCCTGAATATAAAACCCAAATGTTTCAATTCAATCAACAAGGCCTCCCAGATTTGACCACTCCACCCTCTGACCTCCTCTCCTACCCTGCCTGCACAGGCCTGCTGCCAACCAGGCAAGATGCAACCGCAGAGCCTTGGTACAGGCTGTGCCCTCCGCCTGATAACGCCTTCCTCCAGACAGCCACACCCCGCTCCTGCTCCTCCTTTGGGCCTTTGCTGGAACTGCTCCTCCCCTTTCCTAACCTCCTGTGTGATACTGCAAACCTCCCATTTCCCATAGCCGGCCTGCTCTTCTTACAAAGCATTGTCACTTCTCACATTATTGTCTGATACGTTCACCGTGTCTATCCTGTCTCTTCTTGGAACCTAAGGGGGTGCTTGCCCTGTGGTTGTTCAGTAAATATCTGAATAAATGTGTCACTGAATGAGAAGTTACCGATGCCTCCAGAGTGACAGGGGCTGGGTTGGGTGAGCCTCCTGTATGAACTCAGGGAGAGATCCAGGCAGAGACAGGGCTGGAGCTCAGGGGTCGGGAAGGGGAGAGGACAGAGGTGGGAGACTTCATACACAGGAGGACCGATGCCAACCTCCTTCCAGACATGGTTGTCCCTTTGGATTCTCAACTAACCCGCTCTCTCTCTCTCTCTCTTTTTTTTAAGTTTATGATTTTTTTAGAGAGAGAGGAAGGGGGGGGGGAGAGAGAGAAACATTGATTTATTGTTCCACTTATTTATGTATTCATTGATTTTTTTTTTTGCTAAATATGGTTGTCTTTATTTTCTTTTTCCTTGCCCAGCCCTATCTAAACAAAATAAAACTACAGGACTGAAATTAACAACCCATTGAAATCAGCAGTAAGTTATTAAAATCATAAAGCTTTTTTAAAAAATATATTTTATTGATTTTTTTACAGAGGAGGGGAGAGGGATAGAGTCAGAAACATCGATGAGAAACATCGATCAGCTGCCTCTTGCACGCCCCCTACTGGGGATGTGCCCGCAACCTAGGTACATGCCCTTGACCGGAATCGAACCTGGGACCCTTGAGTCCGCAGGTCGACGCTCTATCCACTGAGCCAAACCGGTTAGGGCCATAAAGCTTTTTTAAAAGTAATTATGGGTAAATTATTTAAAGCATACAAAGTTCAAAGAGCCAGGGGTAAGGAGGTCTCCAAGAAGGCTTCCTGGGGTAAGGGAGAGGCGAGGCCAGGGAGAAAACTTGGGAATTTGAAGGACAAAGGGAACACATGACATCAAAGTGCAGGAATTTCACTTAAAATAACATTTCTGAAAATACTGATAAGAGCAACAATAGCACCTGCACAGTGGGACTGTGAGGGGAGTATTCATTGATTCTTGTATGTGCCCTGACCAGGGATCAAACCCACAATCTTGGCTTATCTGAATGACACTCTAACCAACTGATCTGCCCAGCCAGGGTCAGCCAACGCTCTTAAATGGGGACAGTTCATTATTTCCATTGTACAGATGGGAAAACTGAGGCTGGGACCATTAGGTTGCACATGGCCCAGAACCAACTGAGAGGACCCCCTACAGTTGAACGCACAACATTTATGGGGGGACTGCTACGCAGCCCCCCGGGTCCTGAGAGGAGAGCAGGCCTCCGTCTCCTCACTTCAACTAGTTGGGATTCTAAACTGCCGCCCCAAGCGGGTGTTGAGGGGAAACTGGAACTCCAGAGCAGCAGCCAAAGCCGCGCGAGAGCTCCCAAAGCCACGCGAGAGCTTCCAAAGCGCGAGTGGGCGGTGCCATTCGCACTCCTCAGGCACAGCCACAGCCGCTCGGGCTGCCCTTGGCACTGCCTGTCCCAGAGGTCGTTGCATTCAGGCGTTCGCTGGCGACAGCCCTAAACGGAGAGGCTGAGGGGGCCTGAACGGGGCTTCGCAGCAGCTCAGTCGGCTCTGGTCCTGGCGGCGGGCACAGGCGCAGTGAGTGTGAGCGGCGGCCGGCATGGATGACGAGGAGGAGACGTACCGGCTGTGGAAGATTCGCAAGACCATTATGCAGGTGAGAGCGCGCGGGGCTTGGCGAGCGCAGAGGGCGGGCCTCGGGGCCCAGCCGTGAGTCCGAGCGGGGCAGGGAGGCGGAAACGGGAGGCTGGGGTCTCTCTACCCGGATGTTAGCTGCCTCTCGTGTCGCGGTGTTGTCCACGTGAAGAGTGCCGAAACCTTAGAGAACTTTTAAAAGAGTTTATTTGAGCCCTGGCCGAGTGGGGCGTTGTCGTCCTGTACACCAAAAGGTTGCGTGTTCTAGTCCTGGTCAGGGCACTGACCTAGGTTGTGGGTTGATCTCGGTCCGGCGCTCGCTCGCGCTCTCCCCCTTCCCATCCTCTCTCCCCCTCCCCCCTCCCCCATACCCTTGGCCCAGCTGGTGTGGTCCAGTGATTGAGCCTCAACCGATGAACCAGGAGATCACGGTTGGATTCCCAGTCAGGGCACATGCCCAGGTTTCGGCTGAATCCCCCTTGCGGGGCGTGCAGGAAGCAGCTGATGGATGTGTCTTTCTCATCAATGCTTCTTTTTCCTCCGTCTCTCTCTCTTTCTCAAAATCAATAAAAGTCATAAATAATAAAAATTTTATTTGAAGCAAAAATAACGACTTGCTGGGAAGCAAGATCTCAAATACCCTAGAGAATAACGGTTTTGCAGTTTCTTTTTTTATTGATTAAGGTATTACATATGCGTCCTTATCCCCCCATTGCCCCCCACCCCCCTGCAGTTTCTTTTATGCACTTTCAATGAAGGAAGGAGTGTAAGGACGGTTACAGGAAGGCGGGAGGAAGCCATGCAGGGACTGGATCACAGGGAGTTGTCTGTAGTTGAAGGCGGTCATGCGTATTTCAAAGGTGTGTTATCCTGGGCTCACAAGAACAGACAGGGCTCGCTTAAGACAAAAGTAAACCTTTTACTAAACAAGTTCTAGGTCTGGAACGTGACTGCCCACCATGACCTGCCCAGTTAGGGATTTATGATCAGGTTACCTTATGAGGTTACTTTCCATGGAACCCCCTTTTTTTTGTCTACAGTCTCTTGGTTATTTCCTGGAAGGCTTCCACACTACCCCAGTGCATAAGACAGAATCACAGGATTACGGGACTGCAAGGAACCTGGGCCAGCTGTCTACCTGCCACCATCCAGTGCAGACATCTCTCTCTGACCTCTCTGTCTGGTGGCTACTTCAATGCTGTACCCACCAACTTTGAGTTACTCGGGATGGAGCGAAGCAGCAAGCTGGCTGAGCATCACTACACGCCATGTGCTTTAAGCCGCCCTATGGGAGGGGGCCACTGTGACCCCCAGAAGCCCACCTTTGCCTTTGCACTCCCCTTGTAGGAATCCTGCCAGGTTTAAGGGTTTAGGGCTGGGCAGCCAAACCCAGCCCCTTCACTCGTTTGCAAAGCTACCCCAAAGATAGGGACTGAAACAGCTGTGCTACAGGCCGGCAGTGTTGTGGGTCCTGAGAGAAAACCAGGCTGTGGGGACTTCACAGAGGAAAGAGAGTGTAGGAGGCCTCAGGCAGGCCAGGCTGAGTAGCAGCTCGGACCTCCCCTTTCTTTACGTTTTTAAAAATATTTTTATTGATTTCAGAGAGGAAGGGAGAGGGATAGAGAGAAACATCAATGATGAGAGAGAATCGTTGATTGCCTGCCTCCTGCACAACCACTACTGGGGGGATCGAGCTGGCAACCTGGGCATGTGCCCTTGGCCGGAATCGAACCTGGGACCCTTCAGTCCGTAGGCCGATGCTCTATCCACTGAGCCAAACCAGCTAGGGCCCCTTTCTTTCTTTTTTTTTAAATATATTTTATTGATTTTTTTACAGAGAGGAAGGGAGAAAGATAGAGAGTTAGAAACATCGATGAGAGAGAAACATCGATCAGCTGCCTCCTGCACATCTCCTACTGGGGATGTGCCCGCAACCCAGGTACATGCCCTTGACCGGAATCGAACCTGGGACCTTTCAGTCCGCAGGCCGACGCTCTATCCACTGAGCCAAACCGGTTTTGGCAAGGGCCCCTTTCTTTACTTGGATCTTCTTCCTACCAGCCCACTAAAGAGCCTCATTTTCCGAGATGAGTCCTAGAACTCCTGGCCCTCAAGCTTTTGCCTGGTTTTCAACTAAGGTCTGTCCAGGCAGCCTAGCAGTGCCCCTCCCACCTAACTGTCTTTTTCTGCCCCAGACCCCAGGGCCCCAACTCTAGGCTCAAATGGCTCCAACCCAAGTCCCAGTTCTGCAGCTGCTTCCCAATCACAGCCTCTCACGGCCTCAGTTTTCAGAATAAAATGACAGCACCCATGGCAACTGATTAACTGGATTGACACAATGGCTGTCTTGGGGTGTGCCCCGTATTTGTCTCTACCTGCTTCGTCCCTCTTTTCTGGGTTCTACACACACCTGCCACACTGAGCCCCAAACTCCCTGTATTGTCCTCACGGTGCCCTCATTCGGCCCAAGCTCTTGCTGCCATTCCTCCTCTCCCCTGGGGTCACCTGGCTCTTTCTGTCCGCAGCTGTGCCATGACCGAGGCTACCTGGTGACTCAGGATGAGCTGGACCAGACACTAGAGGAGTTCAAGGCCCAGTTTGGGGACAAGCCAAGTGAAGGGCGGCCACGGCGCACGGACCTCACAGTGCTGGTGGCCCACAATGATGACCCCACTGACCAGATGTTTGTCTTTTTCCCAGGTGAGTGTCTTGCTGGTGCCTGAGGGGTCACTGAGAGCCATTTGATGGCCTGTTTAGGATCCAGCTTGTAACATTCCCCTGCTTATAACATTGACCCAGAAGAGAGAGTTCCCCCTCACCTTATGTGCTGTGGGCGACGTCATTGATCTCTGACCCTTCTGAGTACCTTTTCCTTCTTGGTCGTCTTCCCCATTCTCTATTCCTTGGCTGTTTTCTCTGACCACGATTATCATAGGCCTTCCAGGAGAGCCCCCAGCTCCTAACCTCAGACCCACTGTTTCCTCCTCTGTCCACCACCAGCCCAGCTTCCACTCTCAGCGCCTGTGTTCCCTGCAGCTCCTTCCTGCACCGTTGCAGAGTTATTGCCTCATATTGCCTAACCCCCGCCTCACCACACCCTTTCCTCCTTACTGTGCCTCCTCAGTGTCCAGTCATTGTCCCCGGAGACTACACTCAGGTGCCTCCTATTTCAGGATCCCCACTGAGCCCTGGGTTGAGCTAAGAGCCTTCTGAGGGGTGTCCTGGGATCCCTGTGTTCCTCTCTTTTAGCACCTAACCCATTGAGGCAGCCTCGCTCTCAGGCCTGCAAAAGTTGGGGGATCAGGCTGTGTTCAGCACCTTGGTATCAACTACATGCCTAGAATGAAGGGGGTGGGCAGAAAACATTTGCAGAGCAGAACCTGGTGACACTTTTTAAGGTAAACGTCCCTGTGTATGAGATATGATTATTTGAGACCTTAATGCCTAATCACAGGCCTCCCACAGAGCCATCTCCAGACCTGTCGGGGATTAGCTTCTCCCTGGAGTAGTAGTCTCCATGCATTTCCTGGTGTTCGGTGACATGGAGGTGTCACTGCTCCTCTGGGACATGCTTCAGGACAGGGCTTAAGTTTCTGCCTGTATTGGTTTGCTGAGGCCGCCATAACAAAGCACTATAGATGAGTCCTAAAACAACTGACATTTATTGTCTCCAGCTCTGGGGGCTGGAAGTTCAAGATCAAGTTGTCTGCTGGGTTGGTTCCCCCTTATGTTTCTGTCCTTACCATGTTAGACGGTGGCTCTCTCCTCCCTGTGTCCTCACAGGGTCCCTAATGTCTGTCTCAATCTCTTAGAAGGACACCAGTCAGATTGGATCAGGGTTCACATGACCTCATGTTACCTTAATTATCTCTTGGAAGGCCCCTTTACCAAACACAGTAGTTATTAGTTACCTTCTGAGGTACTGGGGATTAGGACTCAAACCTGGGGATTTGGGAGGACTCAGCCCAGGATACTGGTCATCGGTGGAGTGATTTGCACTGCAGAAGACAGAGGCCCAGCTAGGAGCCTCACGTGAATCCTGGTGGCCAGAGCCCTGTGGCTGAAGCTCGTAGGGTCCAGTGTTTCTCTGGTGACAAAGCCCCAGGCCCCTAATGCTACTGAAAAAGTAACAACTTCTACCGCTGGGGATGGGCGGTCTGTCTCCATGGCAGGTCAGCCAACCTCATCTCACCTCTGGACACCCAGCCATGCACTTTGTGGGGTCCCAGATTAAACAAGCCACTTAGCTTGGGGGTTCTCAAACCTTGGAACCAGTGAGGCACCCAACTAAACCCAGATTTCATACCCCACTTCAGACAGGGACCTTTGAAGTCCAGGGGCATAGGCACCTTTCAGCTGCTTGGTGACCTGGAAGCAGCCAGCTCCCTGTTCTACAAACTGAAAAACTGAGGCCTCAGAGAGGTGCCACACATGCCTGGAAACGGGTCGGTAAGGCCCTGGCATTGTGGACCCGCATGCACTCTGTCCACAGAGGAGCCCAAAGTGGGGATCAAGACCATCAAGGTGTACTGCCAGCGCATGCAGGAGGAAAACATCACCCGAGCCCTCATCGTGGTGCAGCAGGGCATGACACCCTCTGCCAAGCAGGTGGGTGTCCCCACAGCAAAGAGCCTGACCACTTCCCTTCCTGTTCTGTCCTGAGCCTCACTTTCCTATGGCACCTAAGAGGCCCCGCCGCTATCTTCACCCAGGGCACCCACTGCACCCTCGGCAGCACTTGCCTCTGGCCCCACGTTCTAATGTGGGAGCTCAGGGTCTGAGAAGGAGCTGCTGTCCTTTGTGGGCAGCATGGGGCATCCCCAGAGCAGGCCCAGCATCCCCCGTCTGTGTTTGGAGAGGCCTAAGTGGGATGGGAGGAGCAGTGAGCACACTCTTCCCTGTGCCTGTGGTCTTTGCCCAGAGTCCTTGCCATCTTGGTCCTCTCTTGGGGAGTGGCCTCCATGCCAGCTCAGGGACCAACCTCCGGACTCATTTGACTGATAAACTCATTTCCTGACACCAGGCTGAGGTCTGGAGATGTGCCAGGGGCCAAGGCAGTGGGGAGAAACCCATGCATGCTATGGGAATGCCTAGCTTATGATGCCTGGCTTCTTGTTGAGGTACAAGATCAAACCCATTCATCTTTCCCATCTGCCATGGCCTCTGAGGAAGAAACGAGCCAGGTCTCCAGTCCTGTGTGTGTGTGTGGTGGGGGGGTTGGGGGGGGCATGGCCATATCTGAGGATCTCTCTTCCAGTCCCTGGTCGACATGGCCCCCAAATACATCCTGGAACAGTTTCTGCAGCAGGAGCTGCTCATCAACATCACGGAGCACGAGGTGGGGCCTAGGGAAGTTGGGGGGAGTTGGGTGGTAGGGAGTGGGGAGATGGTAAAGAAAGTAGAGCCAGGCTCTCAAAGTGTGGCCCCCAGGTCCAGAGCAGCAGCAGCAGCAGCAGCATTACCTGAGCCTTGCTGAGAATGTGGGTTCCCAGTCCACACTGCTGACCTGGGGGATGGGGATCCCAGGTTGTGTCCCAAGGTCCCTCTGCATGACAGTTGTGGGTGGGGTGTAGACTAGCTGAGGACACTGTACCCCTCCCCCGTGTGGGCGTGTGGGGCAGAGCGGGGTCCTGGCCCTCTGGAGACACAGGTTCTGTTCTCTTGGCAGCTGGTCCCAGAGCATGTCGTCATGACCAAGGAGGAGGTGACGGAGCTGCTGGCCAGATAGTATCCTTTCTGGACCTCCCATCCTCTCCCCTCCCCAATCCTCTGGGCTTCTCCATCCCTCCCAGTCAGCCCTGCATGGCTTTTTCCTGACTGAGCTTCCCAGTAAACTCCGAGAAAACCAGCTGCCCAGGATCCAGGCTGGAGACCCCGTGGCACGCTACTTTGGGATAAAGCGAGGACAGGTGAGAGACCACCCTGGCAGGAGAGCCCTACCCCCAGCCTTTTTCCTCTTGGGCAGGAGCCTCAGCACTCACCCCCCTCCCCCAGCTTTTTGAAGAATCAGGGCTACCCCCAAGTCTCTTTTCCTGGTCGGGGTCCTGGTGCCACCTGCCCCGCTGCTGCCCCCACCAATCCCACACACACCTGGGTCCCTGGGGAGGCCCTCCCAGCCCTGCTCTCACTCTGATGCAGGTAGTGAAGATCATCCGGCCCAGCGAAACCGCAGGCAGATACATCACCTACCGGCTGGTGCAGTAGCCATCCTACCACCTAGCAGGTGAGATAGATGCCACCCCAGCTGTGGCGGGGAAGGGGGGTCTGTATACACTGGTGGTGCAGGAAAGACCGAAGTCTTTGCCTGAGTGGGCCCATCTGTTACCTGCCCCACTAATGTTCTGACCCGGAGCCCTGAGCTCAGCCCCTTCTTTCCAGACCTGCTTTCCTCTTCGTTGCCCTAACCTTCTCCTTCCAGGTTCCACCACAGCCTGTCACTCTCCACTTCCCGTGGGGCCCAGGAGTGGCATCTGCCCCCTGGGTATGTCTAACCCACGTGATAGACTAATCACATGATGGCCTTTTCTTCTCTCCTCCAGCCCCTGGGAGACAGACAAATGGACTGTAACCACCTTACCCGGGCAGTTGGCCTGCTGGCCGCTTGCCCTGCTGTGATCTGCTCAACCCTGGAAACCTACCTGCTGCTTCTTTGGAACCCAGGGCAGGCTGTGTGCTTGCCCTCCTGGGCTGAGGGCCCTTGTGGCCACACAGGGACACTGAGCCCCACCTGGGATCCTGTGCAAATGGTTCCTCAAGAGGACAGGATGCTGAGGGGAGGCCAGTGAGCCAGCCAGCAACCAAGGTAGTCCTAGGTTCTTGCCTGTCCCCCGAGGCACTCCAAGCTGGCTCCCCACAAATGGGACCTGGGTCCAAGTCTCCGGGTAAGCCCCCACTTCCAGCTTCCCTCCTCCATGCTCCTCACAGTGGCCCTATCCCTGACCCGTTGAGGACTCTGAGGTCAGCAGGCAGGGAGATTAAAATACCTCTGGATTTGAGTTGGTATTGAAGCTGGGTGTTTTTAAATTAAAGGTGTTTTGAGTAAACAGTTTCACTTGTCTAAAAAAACGGTGGGAGGATAGGTTTGTTGTGGTTTCAAGACAGAGTCTCTGTGACCCTTCCCTGCTCCCCACCTGCAAACTGCCACAGCCATACCTGGCTTTCTGTCCAGTGTTCACAATGCAAAGGTGCATCTGTCCTCTCCCTTCACCCAAAAGGCAGGATTAATGTCCGGTGCTCACTTGTAGCTGTGCTCCCTTATGCTTTTCTTGCCTAGAAGTTTGGGGTCCAACGAGCCTCTCCCCCGCCTAGAGTGTCTGGTTCCAGAAGACACAGTCCCTCCCCCCCCAAGTTAAAAGAAATCATGTATATTCTTTAACCCTTTGCGGTCGTATTAAATTTGGACATGGGTGTCATACTGGTCGGAATTAATTTCCATTGAAAGAGCAGTGATACATAACATGCAAGATTATGAAGGACAAACAAGATTTATTAATTCTTTTTTGGAACTACGTCACTACTAGTAGAATCACTACAAACGTTGTCACTTTCTACGTCAGAGTCAGTATTCAAGGTGCCAAAATAAAACTCTTCATCGTTACTTTCAGATTCGCAGTACACTTCTTTCGGTAACCTTCTTTTTGCCATTTTGGAGTAGTATTTTGAAATATCTTAACAAGCGAGAATGCCTAATTACAGTTAAACGTAATTTGTAAAGCTTTATTTGAAATTCTGCGAAGTATCTCCGAAGCTTGTCGATTTCTTCACTCAAAAGGCGACTGACTCGCCACGGTGTTTTGCATGGCGAGTGTGGAACAACCGCGTCTGTTTATATTGAGTTTCGATATCTCCGATTTGTCGGGGCAATGTTTTGGTTCGTGACAAGGTCGCTTAGACACTTAAGAGCTTTCAGAGAAATTATGAACTGATACATGAATGAATAGAGTTAAGATTCGTACGGTTCCTTGCTGTGGTGGCTGAGAGCAGACTTACAACCGGAACGGTAAAAAAGCTTTGGTGGCTGAGAGTAGACAAACGACCGCAAAGGGTTAATAGCTTTATTGAGACATAATCACCATACAATTCACCCATTTGCAGTATATAGTTTAGTGATTTTTAGTGTGTTCCCAGCTGTGCACACATTACCACCAGTTCTGGAACATTACATCATCCGCAAAAGCAACCCCAACTCCAACAACCACCCCCTGTTCCCCACTTCACTTCCACTGTCACTTTGGTTGGCTATATAGGTTAACTTTTTATTTTAAATTGAATTTATTGGGGTGGCAATGGTACCCGCCTTGGCCTGGCGCCACCCGCTTACCTCCACCATCCCGCTGTGGTCCCACTCTTCAGGGCCAGCCACACCTCGTCACCGACACCCACCGTGTTCCGCACCGCCCCCTGGTGGTCAGCGCACATCATAGTGAGCTGATGAGCTCCAGGTCGAGCAATTTGCATATTAGGCTTTTGTTATAAAAGACTAGAGGCCCGGTGAATGAAATTGGTGTAAGGGGTCGGAGCTGTTCCTCAGCCCTGAATGTGTATTCAGGTCTTTGCCTTTAGTTTAGTTGGCTTGTTTGTGTTTTTATTATCCTCGCAATCTGGGACCCCTCTGGGGATGTCGGGCCTAAACTGGCAGTTGGACATCCCTCACAATCCAGGATGCTGCATGCACCAGTGACCATACTTTTTTTAAAAATTTTTTTTAAAAATATATTTTATTGATTTTTTTTTTACAGAGAGGTAGGGAGAGGGATAGAGAGTTAGAAGCATCAGTGAGAGAGAAACATCGATCAGCTGCCTCCTGCACAGCCCCCACTGGGGATGTGCCCGCAACCAGGGTACATGCCCTTGACCGGAATTTAACCTGGGACCTTTCAGTCCGCAGGCCGACGCTCTATCCACTGAGCCAAACCGGTTAGGACGACCATACTTTTCATACAGGTGAAAGGCATCTTGCTGTTGTATGGGCAGCTACATTTTTTTTGCCTTGATTATAAAAAGTAGTACATAACATGATTCTTCTGAGGCAGTAGTACCATTTTCCCCATCTTATGGGTGGAAAAACTGAAGCAGAGAGAAGTTAAGTAATTGGCTTTGTCACACCGTTATAAGTGTCAGAATCAGGGCTGACCACAAAAGGTGCAAGCCACAGTCCATGCATGTCATCGCTGCATCATCCTGTTTTTTCAGTGTTGGAGTACCCTTGCCAGGTTTTAAGTTTTAAATCTAAGAGACCATTCCCAATATATAGATAGGTAGGGTCCCTAGGCCTGGCTGGTGATCAGGGCAATCTGTAGGGTGACCGGTGGGGGGGAGCGATGTGGGAGGGGCTCCACTAGCACCCGCCTTGGCTGGTGGCCGCTGGCTGGCCCCACCCCTGATTGCCGCTGCTGGTCGCCTCCCTTGGCGGGGGACAAACACTCAGTGCAGGAGCTGCCCCCTGGTGGTCAGTTCACGTCATGGTGACCAGTCATTCAGCCGTTCAGTGGTTTTATTATATAGGATTGGGCCATTTAGCTCTGCCCTCCCTGAATCAATTCGTTTGCCTAGTCTGCTCTCTTTTGCAAAATACATGTGTGTTCCTGAGGCTTTACGTAAGGACCATGTATGGCTGCTTTGGTGACCGCTTGTTATGCTTAAAGTAAAACAAATGCTCCGAGATCCATTTGTGCGGTGTCCTTCTGAAGAAAAGGCTTATTGAAGCTGAGGTCAGGCTTAGTGTGTACACTTTAATTCATTTTCTAGTTACTTCATGGTAGCACTGAGTATACCAATAAATTAATTGATAATTGTTTTATTTATTGATTTTAGAGAAAGGAGGGGAGAGAGAGAAACATCAATGTGTTGTTCCACTTATTGGTGCATTAATTGGTTGCTTGTGTGTGCCCTGACCAGAGATCGAACCCGCAACCTTGGTATCGGGATGGCTATCTAACCAACTGAGCTACCTGGCCAAGGCCTTAATAATTTTTGAAAACTAGGAAGCAAATTGGGAATTTTTATTTCCTAGTGGCTGGAAAACTAGGACTTGAAGTGTAACAGTAAGCCAGAAACTAGGCAATAAGCCATTGGCTATGATGTTACAAATCATCTTGTTTCCCATTTGGGATTTTTGGACAAGAAAATACAGTGTTGCCCTGGCCAGTGTGGCTCAGTTGGTTGGAACATTGTCCTGTACACCGATCATACAATTTAAAAAGTGGTTTCAATGCATATCAGAGTATTTATTTAATCAAGTAGCATTTTGTGCCGGAACCGGTTTGGCTCAGTGGATGGAGCGTCAGCTTGTGGACTGAGAGGTCCCAGGTTCGATTCCAGTCGGGGGCGTGTGCCTGGGTTGCGGTCACATCCCCAGTGGGAGATGTGCAGGAGGCAGCTGATCGATGTTTCTCTCTCATCGATGTTTCTGGCTCTCTATCTCTCTCCCTTCCTCTCTGTGAAAAATCAATAAAATATATATTTTTTTAAAAAGTAGCATTTTGCTTGCCTAAATTTAAGGATCCAAGTTGAGATCTTGTGCAGAATCCATTAACCAAATCTTGGTGTCTTCTTGATTTCATTGTCAGGTTTCTTTGTGGGGTTTTTTTGGTGGGGGCGGGGTGTTAATACTTTTCTGAGCACTATTAATTTATTTTGCTCTTAAATTTTTTCAATCTTTATGTCTAAAATCAGTTGGCTTGGCCCTGGCCAGTGTGTCTCGGTTGGGCGTCGTCCCGTGCACCAGGAGGTTGCCCATTCGATTCCCAGTCAGGGTACATACCCACATTTTGGGTTCAATCCCCAGTAGGGGCACTTGCAGGAGGCAAACAATTAATGTTTTGTTTTAAAAAAAAAAAAAATATATATATATATATATATATATATATATATATTTTATTGATTTTCCACAGAGTGGAACGGAGAGGGATAGAGAGCCAGAAACATCGATGATAGAGAAACACCGATCAGCTGCCTCCTGCACACTCCCCACTGGGGATGTGCCCGCAACCAAGGTACATGCCCTTGACTGGAATCGAACCTGGGACCCTTGAGTCCGCAGGCCGGTGCTCTATCCACTGAGCCAAATCAGCCAGGGCTTAAAAATATATTATTGATTTTTCACAGAGAGGAAGGGAGAGGGATAGAGAGTTAGAAACATCAATGAGAGAGAAACATTGATCAGCTGCCTCCTGCACTCCCCCTACTGGGGATGTACCCGCAACCAAGGTACATGTCCTTGACTGGAATCAAACCTGGGACCCTTCAGTCCAATGCTCTATCCACTAAGCCAAACCGGTTAGGGCTAATGTTTTGTTTTTTTTCTCTCTCTCCCCCGCCCTCTAAAATTAATTTGAAAATAAAAAATAAAATTGGTTAGTTTATAGAAGCCTTCTATTTCATTATGTTCTTGATTTGTCAGTTCTTAATTTGTAGGATAGCTCAACAATATTGAGCTAATATTGCCACCTTGCTGTAAGTGCTGAGTTCACTACTCATTTTATTTGCCAAGGATACATGCCCGCATGTATTCTTGATTGATAAATTGCAGAAGATTTTGGAACAAAAAAACCATCCTCATCAGCAGTCACCCCCATTCTCCAGAACCTGACAACCTTGGACCCACTTTTTGTCTGGATTTGCCTGTTCTGGACATTTCACATAAAAGGAATCACACTGTATAGTCTTTTGTGTCTGGCTTCTCTCACTGAGCATCATATTTTCAAAGTTCATTCACGTAGCGAGTGTCAGTGCTTCACTCCTTTTCATGACTGAGTAATATTCCAGTGTGTGGATTGACCACGTGGTGTTTGTTCATTAACTGTTGTACATTTGGGTAGTGTCCACCTTTTGACCATGCTGCTGTGAACAGGTTTTGTGCAGACATGTGTTCAGTACCCTGGATGTGCACCTACAAGGGGAATTACAGGGCTATATGGAAACTCTGGATAATCTTTCCAGAAACTGCCAGATTGTTTTCCAAAGTGGCTGCCCCGTTTTGCATTCCCATGAGCCCCATACAAAGATTCCAGCTTCACATCTGTGTGTCCATCCCAGTGTGGGTGAGCGAGGCCGAGTCTTTCTGTGGTTAGGAGTCATTTTCCCCAATGACTGATGTATCTTTCACATCCTCATAGCTGTTTTGCATATTATCATTGGATAAATGTTTATTCTTTGCCTTTAGTTTAGTTGGGTTGTTTGTGTTTTTATTATTGAGGTGTAAGAGTTCTTTATTCTAGATACAAGTCCCTTAATAGATACATAATTTGCAAAAATTACCTCAATTTGTTTATTTCTTAAATTCCCAGTTCTAGGTATATTTACATAGGCCTTAAATCAGTGGTTCTCAACCTTCTGGCCCTTTAAATACAGTTTCTCATGTTGTGACCCAACCAGAGAATTATATTCGTTGCTACTTCATAACTGTAATGTTGCTACTGTTATGAATCGTCATGTAAATATCTGATATGCAGGATGGTCTTAGGCGACCCCTGGGAAAGGGTCGTTCGACCGCCAAAGGGGTCGCGACCCACAGGTTGAGAACCGCTGCCTTAAATCCTGGGGTTTGCTTTTGGGCACCCTGTGATCCAGGATGTCATTCCCCTCCCTCCCCCCAAACAGTGATCTCAGCACCATGGAGTATGTGGAGGGCCTGGCAGATCCTTTGATGGCCTCCCTGGATTACCTCTTCCATGTAGACTCACAGACGGTTTGTTTCAAGATTCTTCCAATGCTCAATTTAGGTTTTAAAAAGCAGTGTTTTGTAATGTGTCTAATGGTAAAACAAGTCTCCTTTTCCTCCAGATATCCACATTCCAAAATGAGCCAGGCACAGAGCACTGTGATTCCACTCACAGGAAGTCCCTAGAGGAGTCAGACTTAGAGACAGAAAGTAGATGGTGGGAGCCAGGGGCTGGGGGAGAGGGAAAGAGATTTAGTGTTTAATGGGACCGAGCTCCAGTTTGGGAAGATGAAAAAGTTCTAAGATGGATGGTGGTGATGGCGGCACCATGTGAATGTGCTAATGTTATTGAGCTGTGCACTTAAAAATGGTTAATATGGTAAATTTTATGTATATTTTGCCACACACAAAACATCTTGGTTATTCCTTAGTATTTACTCTTTGAATGAATAGAATCGGCTCATGAGTGTCTGTGGAGAGTCCTTTGCTGTGTGGTTGGTGTGCTCTCTCTGAAGCTGCTGCTGTCCCTTTGTGAAAAGTCCCAGGCGCCCTTGGTTAGGTTTCCAGCTGCAGAGGCATGGGCATTATTGTCACCTGTGGGGGCACTGTGATCTCTGTGCCCTCCTCCCAGCAGCACCTGGCTCCCCTTTATTTCTTAGAGACCTCATTCTGCCTATGCCACCAAGCACAGCCTGTCCCAAGTTCTGAGATGGGCTCAGGGTGGCTCCCTGCTCTGTGACACCCACCGTGGGATTCCTGGGGGTCAGGTGGGATGAGGTCGAGACCTGGCACTTACATAGTTCCCCACCACCAGGACATGAAATTGGCCCACCCTGTGAAGGTGCCTCTAACAAGTTGGAGGCCAGTGTTTGCAGACCCATTAGGTTCCAGAGATGCTTTTGCATCTAAGAATGGGGTTCTTTACATGACATTTGCTTTCTGACTAATGCCGATAGTGAAAAGCCGCTGTCTAGCTGAACTCTTGACTATTAGTTTCAGCTGTTAATTCTTCTGTCCTTTAAAAAATGTAGATTTAAAAAAAAAAAAAGTAGATCAAAATGTACATGTCTTTTGTGTAAAGGGCCAGATAAGTGTTTTCAGAGTTCAGTGACCCACCTCTCTAGGGCACAAGTGACGTACAAGGTGGCATGTCACAGGAGTGTGTGGCTATGTGCCAACTAATCTTTGCCCCAAAACGGTGCCGGGCTGCAGTGTGCTGGCGTGTGGTCTCCTTTTCTGGCTTTCTTAGGGAGTTTCTGCAGAGACGAGGCCTGCTGTTGCAGTGCCCTGACTGACTCGTCACGGCCACTTCTTAGCTATGCCTGGGGTGTGCTGTGGTTTTGGGGTCTGTTTTGTATCAGGAGGGGAAGCCCTTGCTCCCTGGCTGCTTTTGTTACAACTGGGTGTGGATTCTGCCTAATTCTCCTGCACTGAATTAAAAGTTGGGGCTCTTCCACACACTCTGACTCCATAGCCCGATGGTACCAATGTCAGGCCATTGGGCTGTGGAGTCGGTGTGTGGTGACTGTCAACAAATGTAGCTTCTCAAAAACTCAGTTGGGGTGGAAACTGAATAGTGAATGTCCTGCCTCTTCTTAGTAAATGCCTGTCAAAATCATTCAGAAGCTCTAACTTATAGATTTTGTTATTTGTAAATCACAGAAGATAGAACATATTCAGAATTTTTCACCCCAGGATTTTAAAGTGACTTTTCAATGTATTTACAGGTATTTTCATAACTTCTTGTGGAGAGATTATAAAAATAAAAATAATTACTTAATGAGAAAAGCTTAAAGCAAAATTACTCTTAACAGCATACATATACATTTTGTATGTTAACATTAAGTTCTTCATTTGTACACCGCAAACCGCTGAAATTTAAACGAGAGCCAGGGATGTGTTTTTGCCTCCAGTGGAGTAGGGAGCAGCACTTTAAGAGATTTCCAGACAAAAGGGAAATGCCACCCGAAGAGTTTTAGATTTTGTTTCTGGTAAAAATGGTAGGGCAGACTAGTCAACTCATCAGAGACAAACTAAAGGGAAGGACCAAGTTCTGTTGTTTAATACATTTTAACCCTTTGGAAAATCTTGTTTGACCTCAAGTGATATTTATGCAGAAACTCAAATAAAGCTTATATATTTGTTAATATATATTGAAAATTTGGAGCTCTTCTCTGCTGAGCTGCCCTCCAGTATAAACCTGGCTGTGGGGAGGTAATATGCATTGGGGGGAGTCCTTACCTGTCCCCCCTCTGCTGTCCCAGATGGTGGCCACCACCCTCCTGATGCTCTTCCATCTAAATAAACTAAATGAAATGTGTAAGAGCTCCTCAGGTTAGTCGGGCCTAATTTCAAGTGCTGAGAACCCATGGGAAATGCAGCCAGCCCTGGCTGGGTAGCTCAGTTGGTTAAAGCATCCCAATGTGCCAAGGTTTCGAGTTCGATGCCTGGTCAGGGCACATACAAGAATCAACCAATGAGTGCAGAAGTAGGTGGAACAACAAACCCATGTTCTCTCCATCTCGCCAATCAAATTTTGTTAGCCCTCACCTGAGGATATTTTTTCCATTGATTGTTCAGAGAGAGTGAGACGGGGAGAGAGATCAACTGGTTGCCTCCTGCACGTGCCCAACCAGGGGCAGGGAGCGAACCACTAACCCCGGTAAGTGCTCCTGATTAGGAATGGAACCCGCGACCCTTCAGTCCATGGGCCGGCGCTCTAACCACCGAGAACACCGCCAGGGCTCAAATCAACACTTCTTTTATTTGTTTGTTTTTTTCTTTCTTTTTTTTTTTTTTTTAAATATATTTTATTGATTTTTTACAGAGAGGAAGGGAGAGAGATAGAGAGTTAGAAACATCGATGAGAGAGAAACATCGATCAGCTGCCTCCTGCACATCTCCTACTGGAGATATGCCCGCAACCCAGGTACATGCCCTTGACCGGAATCGAACCTGGGACCTTTCAGTCCGCAGGCCGACGCTCTATCCACTGAGCCAAACCGGTTTCGGCTGTTTGTTTTTTTCTTTATTGATTAAGGTATTACCTATGTGTCCTTATCCTCCCCATTGCCCCCCCACCCCACCCCCCAACTCATGCCCTCCCCCCGCCTGGTGTCTATGTCCATGGTCTCATCGATGCTTCTCTGTATCTGGATCTGTTTTTGTTCATCAGTTTATGTTGTTCATTATATTCCACAAATGAGTGAGATCCTGTGGTATTTCTCTTTCTCCGACTGGCTTATTTTGCTTAGCATAATGCTCTCCAGGTCCATCCATGCTGTTGCAAATGGTAAGAATTCCTTCTTTTTTACCAGTGTAGTATTCCATTGTGTAGATGTACCACAGTTTTTTTAATCCACTCATCTGCTGATTGGCACTTAGGCTGTTTCCAAATCTTAGCTATTGTAAATTGTGCTGCTATGAACATAGGGGTGCATATATCCTTCCTGATTGGTGTTTCTAGTTTCTTGGGATATATTCCTAGAAGTGGGATCACTGGGTCAAACGGGAGTTCCATTTTTAATTTTTTCAATACATTTTTTTAAAAAGGAAATGCAGCTGGTACTTGAACAGCACAGATGAAGAGTGTTTTTTGTCTTCTGGAAGGTTCTACTGGATAGTGCTGATGCAGCGTTTATTGAGGTGGTTATCTAACATGTACATGTTTGCACAGCTTACCTCAAAGGCTCCCTGGGCTCACACACCTCACTGGGCCATTTGGGGTAGACTTTCCTTCCTCACACCCTCCCCAGCGAGGAAGCAAAGGAACCCCGTGTCCCGTCCCCCAAGTTGCCATTCAGATTAACAACTTTATTTTAAATGTTTTTTAAAATATACATTTTTTTTATTTGAGAGAGGGAGAGAGAGAAACATCAATGAGAGATAAACATCTATCGGCTGCCTCCTACATGCTCCCTACTGGGAATTGAGCCCACAATCTGGGCATGTGCCCTGACCAGAAATTGAAATGTGGCCTCCTGGTTCATGGGTCAACACTCAACCACTGAGCCACACCAGCTGGGCAACTTTATTTTAAGCAAAATATGTACACATGTGAAGGGAGATCCCCTCATGTACCTAAACCCCAGATGTCCAAACCCAATTCTGCCATCTGGTCCCTGACATTTATCTGGCTGTCAGAGTGGCCTTCCACAGCCCGGCAACCAAAAGTTATAGGTCAGGGCAGGTCCAAGGAGTGGCCAGCCCTGAGCAGAATGCTGGGGTCACTCAGGCAATTCCTCTGTCCACAAAGCCCCATGGTGACTCCTGAGAGCAAAGTCCCCAGCTCAGCCAAGCGGGTCATGCAAAGGGACACTGGATGGACCATGGACTTGCTCCTGGAAGCTTGTGGAAAAGGTGGCTGTTGATGCCCTCGCCACTGTGGGCCATTGCAGCCTAGGCACAGAGCCTGGCACAGTATGGCCAGGCCTGGGGACATGCACAGTGACAGGAGCCAGGAACAGGGTGGTGCTCGGCCCTCAGCCACAGCACAGGCCACCCGAGGTCCCAGCTAGACAAACTCGGGCCTGCTCTCCGGGCCAGTGCCTGCTATGACATGCCTGTCACCATGCTTCATGGCGGGCAGCAGACTCTCAGCTACATTGTTGGACTGGTTGGTGTTGTACTGGGACAGCCCCTCCCAGTCACCATCCTCCCCAGCTGAGGGTCCCAGCTGCTCCTCACTGCCGCTGTCCTCCACGCTGGCCTCACTGCCCTGCTTCTCCAAGAAGCTGAGGCGGTGCAAGGCTTCCCCCTCTGCCGGGGACAGCAGCTCTGGGGCCTCCTCCAGTTCTGAGTCAGAGTCGTTGGAGGCAACATGGGATTCTGGTAGGTCTGTGAGAGGGAGAGACAGAGGTAGAGACATGAGACAGGGAGAGACAGGGAGAGGTATCTCCCATTGCGCTCCCTAGGCCGATCCACTCACCTGGGCCTCCGTCCTCAGCTTCTTCCTGCGGGGGGAAGGCAGCCTCCTCGTTGGTCTCCGAGTAGGGTACCTGGAGCAACACCTCAGCCCGCTGGGTTGGCATCCCATACTGCAGGGGTGGCAGGGAGGTCAGGGAGGGGCCTGGAATCCAGCCCATCCAAGCTCCATTTTCTGGCTTGTAAATTAGCCACATTTTTAAAATCTCTAACAGTTGTCACCACCCGCTGCGTCTGAGGCTGAGGGCCCCGTTTCCATGTCATGAGTGACAGCTCTCCCAGCAGGGGCAGCAGACTCTAGCAGTTGGGTTGGGTCCTGCAGGGACAGCCAGCAAGGACACTGATCCTGAGGCCACACCCAATCTTGCCTCTGGAGACCAGGGACCTGTTGCCCAAACCCCAAGAGATGCCTAAAGACAGATAAAGACTCAGGCAAAGGGACTGAATGCTAGAGCAGGGCCCTGGCCAGGTGGCTTGGTTGGTTGGAGCATTGTCTTGTATGCCAAAAAGTTGTGGATTTAATTCCCAGTCAGGATGTGTATGAGAGGCAACTGATGTTTCTCACATCGATGTTTCTCTTAAGAGTTGCAGGCTCGATCTCCCCATAGGGGGCATGCAGGAGGCAGCCAATGAATGATTCTCATCATTGATGTTTCTCTTTCTCCCTCTCCCTTCCTCTCTGAAATCAGTAACAAAACATATCCTCAGGTAAGAATTTAAAAATATATATACTAGAGCAGGGGGCTGTTTGGACACACAAACCTGCAGAAACAAAAACTGTTGGCTTAAAATTAAGACCCAGCAGCCAGGTAAAGTAGCAAGTTGGACCCAGCCAAGGGTCTGGCTGTACGACACAGGATGAGCCAACTCCTCTGCACTGAGTGGGGTATCCCCCAGATTTGAGCCCACACTTTGCTTAAAGGACCCCTCGGAGGCTGTCCCTGTGGAAACCAGACACTCCCAGTCCTCCTCCATCTGCATCCCCCCATGAGCAGACCCTTGCACCTCCCCCTGATCCACCTGCCACCTCACCTGTCCCCTGTTCTCCTCAGGCTTTTCCTCGAAAATCAGGTCATAGTGGGTGATGAGGGTCTCCACGATGCGGGCCTGGTGGGGGTAATCGACCAGGGAGGAGAGGGACACGGTGGCCTCTGTGGGCCGTGGCCGCAGCAGCGTAGGCCCGAACACAATGCCGAGATTCCCGGGGGTCATCTTGTTGTCCTGCTCTACCTCCACAATCCTGAGGAGTCGAGGGGTGCAGAAGCAGGTGAGGGTGGCTCCCTGGACCCAGCCACCCTGGACCCCTGCCTGGCTGACCCTCACCTGCGCAGGTGCTGCAGCAGGTACTGCAGTGAGGCCTTGTTCTCGGATGGCAGGTCACGCAGGAGCTCCCGCAACCGGCCTACCATAGCCATGGCCACAGCCTCGCTCTCAGCCACATCCGGACAATTCCGGGACGCTGCCTTCGCTTCAGCCTCTGCCTTCAGACTGTCCTTGGCCAGCCCCACAAGCTCATGGTAGAGGCGGAAGGAGATGAGTGGCTCAGGCAGCTGCCAAGTGACAGGTGGGGGCAGGAGGAGTGGGGATGGGGGGTGTCATGAGTGATCCTGGCCCAGTCCCCTCCTGTCCTTCCCTGGCCATGCCCCTAGCATCAGCCCGACCTCTGTCAGGTGCTGGTCCCACCCCAACCCATAACCAGATCTGCTCTTGCCCTGGCCACATCCCTGGCCTAGCAGCCCACAACCCCAAGAAGCCCCGCCCCTGCCAGGCACAGGTCCTGCCCAGTATCTGCTCTTCCCCCATGGGGCTCACCTGGCGCAGGTAGAGTTTAAGGACATTGCTGATGTCGTGAGGCGAGGCCTGTGACAGCTCCACCAGCTCCTTGCCGTTTTCAAAGGCCTGGCACAGCTTCTCCACACGCGTCTTCACCCCATTCACCCGGTATATGCCCTGTGGGGGTCCACGGTCAGCCTCAGCCCACACCTGCCTCCCCTCCCTGTGCTTCTGGGATGAAGCCCCTGCTGCTGTCCCAACAGTAGTCACCTTCGTGCGCAGAGCCCGCCGCTCGATCTCACAAACACACTTCTTGACAATGAAGGGCACGCCATCGGGAGTGGCACGGGCTGCCTGGCCAAAGTCCTGGCCAAAGAGCTGCAGGCGGCCCTGAAGCTTCTTGTGTCCACACTGGATGGCCAGGGTCTCCAGACACTTCTTGTGGCAGGCCAGGCAGCACTGGGGGCAGTGCATAGTGAGCAGAGAGCCTGGGTCCCCCTTCCTTCCCTGAAGCCCCCATGACCCACTCCCCCACAGGGCAGTTTCTGAAAGACAGTCCCGATGGTCTCTCCCAGAGTCCCCTGTGCTCCACATGGGACCTTCCAGCCATCCCTGGGGCCCCCACTCACCTCCTCGCACTCAGCGCCATGGAAGTAGACATAGCTGTTGCACTCCCGGCACTTGGCTGGGGAACGGAGCTTTCGGAGCCTGTGAGTTCGGGCTGCCTTGGAAAGTCCCATGTGGCGGAAGGGCCCACTGGGCACAGCCACTGGAAGCTCAGGGGTCATGCCGTTGAGGTCAGCTGGGGGGGGGGACAGGTGGTCATTGTCGCCAAGGCAGGTCAGGACCAGGCCCACAGGCAGAGTCTAAACCCCTCTCCCCTTACTGCCGGGGTCAGAGGCCCCTTACCCTGCTCAAAGGCTGATGCCCCTGCACTGCCCTCCTGGTCCACCAGCTCCTCGCTGGATGACATGGTGCCGCTGGACGACATCCGTTCAAACTTCTTAAAGTCCCCTGAGCAGGAAATAGGGGTGTCAGATACCCCAAGCCCAGAGGGAGCAGCACCCGGTTGGCCAGCTGCTCCCCCAAGGGCCCTTTCCATCACCCTGACCACATGGTGAGCTGTCCCCGGCCAGCAGGGCAGGTCCTTCACCTGAACCAGGACTGGGGTCCAGACTGCCATCAGAGTCTGGGATGGAGGTTGGCCATGACTTGTGCACCTGGTGTCCACGCCCACCTGCAGAATGGCGCATCTAGTGAAGGGCTGAGTGGGGCTGAGAAGGGCTGGAGGGAGGCCTCACCCACCCCACAATCCTGCCAGGCACCCACCCCCACTGGGCACTCACCCCTGCGCTCCTTGGCAAGCGTCCCATCGCTGGGCCCACCTTCATCAGGGGGGCCGCTAGCAGCCTCCGCAGTGTCACCAACATTGAAGCTGCCTTTTCGGGCACGCATGACAGGGGACCTGGTGGGAGTAAAAGCCGGGAGGAGGAGCCATGATGGGGGTCAGAGGGGCCTCCTCATGCTTACCCCCATCTCAGGTGCGAAGCCGGCTCCCAGGGCGCATGCACACAGCCGTACCAGTTGCTGGTGGGGACATGAGGCTCAAAGTCATAGTGCACATCGGGCTCCTCCTCACGCTGCAACTGGCGCACGTGGGAGGCGTACTGCTGGCCCGGATCATAGAGCTTGCTGCTCTCACACAGCATCTGGAAGTGCACAGGCAGCGGGGCGGTCTGCATGTGCATCATCTGGTAGTAGGAGATGGTCGCCTGAGGGAGACGGGGCATAGGCAGTGAGGTCAGCAGTTTGCACGGGTAGCTGCGCAGCCTGCCAGCAGCCAGAGCCTGGGAGCGCCTGGCACCCACCGACTTGATGGTCTGGTCACTCTGCCGGATGACCTCCTGGATCTGTCGAAGCGCCGTCACCTTGGTGTCCTCCAGCTCCTGCTTCTGTGTCTTGGCATCCGCCACACATGTGCGGTATGTGGCCATGGCTTCCTCTGCCTGGGGTGGGGGTCGGGGGCGCACAGAGAGACCTCAGCCTGGGATGCAAGACCCACACAGAAACCCAGCCAGCAGAACGGTGGGAGGGCTTTCCCGGCCGAACAGAGGTGGGGAACTTCACACAGTGTGTCAGAACTGCCCCCCCACTCACACCCACCTTGTTCTTGGCCTCCTCTTCCAAGCGCCGCCGCTTGTCCAGGGCCTTGGAGACAGTGCCCCCTGCTCCAGGCCCAGTGCCCACCTGCTCCTCCTCCGTCTTGGCCACCAGCAGGCGGGCCTTGTCATGGTCCTCACAGCGCTGCACGTAGCCCTGTTTGGCCTTGCGAAGGTTGGACTCTGCCTCTTGCTGTGGGCGTGGAAGCAAAGAGACCATTTCCAAACTGTCCTTCAACTGAGCTGGGTCCTGGCTTTCCCCACTTCCCACTCCAGCAACCAGACACCGAGTCAGGCACCACCACCACCACGTCCCATGGTAACATCCCATGACCCAGTGGGCAAACAGGCACCTGTCCAAGAAATGACAGTAGAAGAATAGGAGGTGACACCTATCATGGGACTCCAGGAGGAACTGGATCGATCTGGTGTGCCCATTTGACAGCCCAGGAAGCTGAGGCATAGCTAAGCTCTGAACGAGGCACAGCCTTCATCAGCCCCTGACACCTATACCCACCCCCGTCAGAGCGGCTGGTGACGCACACGCTCTTTCACTTCCCCTCTCAGAGAGAACAGTGCAGCCGCCCAGGCAGGAAGTCAAGCACCCTCTGGGTGGGCAGGAAGGCACTTAGTCAAAACCCATGGGCCTTCTGGGGCCACACCTTGCAGCCTGCACCTTCAAAGGCTTAAAGGTAAAGAACTGGTATAGGTACTAGGAGAAACCACGGGGGAATTTTTTAAATTAAAAATTTTGGTGCAAGACACAAAACCCAGAAACCATAAAAGAAAAGACTATTGCCCTGGCCAGTGTTGCTTAGTGCTTAGAGCATCAGCCCATGCACCAAAGGGTCATGGGTTTGAGTCCCAGTCAAGGGCACATATCTGAGTTGCAGATTCGATACCTGGCCCCAGTTGGGGCGTGTGCAGGAGGCAACCAATTGGTGTACCTCTCTCACATGGATGTTTCTCTCCCTGCCCCCCTCTCTCTCTCACCATCCCTCCCTCCCTTGCTACTCTCTGTAAAAATCAATGGAAAAAATATCTTCGGGTGAGGATTAACAAAAGAAAAGACTACTGCTGGCAATCACAGGTTTCTACCTGGTAAAACAGGCCAAGGAGTGGATCTTAACACACACCATCAGAGGCTGAGTTCTTTAATATGTAAAGAGTTCTGGCAAATCAATAAGAAACAGACCACAGTCCAATCCAAAGGGAGCAAAGGATATGGACCGAGCTTCACAAAGGGGGGGAAAGTGCAGCTCTGGTTCAAGGGGGTAGCTCGTACTCTCACACCCCAACCCAGCCATTCCTTTTCAGGCAGAGATCTGAAATAAATGCTTGATCACATATCCAAAAGAGGGGACAGGCTTGTCACAGCAGTGGTGTTTGAAACAGCAACAGCTCAGCAACAACTAAAAGGCCCATCAATAGAGATTTAGTGAAGTAAGTCACATGATCTCCACAGCTAAGCACCTGTAAAGGGCCTGGGAAGAGGGAGGAGAGTGGATTGAGGTGGAGCACTCCTCTGGATGTGGGGTGAGTGTAAGAGACAAGACAGGTGCTCAATAAGATGTCAACGAGTGTACAAGAGGCAGGAAACCACAGTTTGGTGTAGGTCCATGCCTGGGACTGCAGCTCAGAGGCCAGCCCGCCCCACCCTTACCCGCCCGCCTGCCTCCCAAGGTACCAGCTTTCTCTGGGCACGGTGCCAGGACTCCTTGATTTCCTTCCTGCGCTTCTCGTGCTCAAGCCGCCGCAGGTTCAGGGGCTGGGGTGAGATTTGCCGTGAGCAGGAGACCCTGGTAACCCCACTCCTCACCCAGCCTCCGGGGGGCAGCCCACCTGCATGAAGGTCTGGGTCTGCAGCGTGATCACTGCCTGCACCAAGCCGTGGCCGAACTCCAGGTCCTGCTCCAGGGCCAGCGAGTAGATGGACAGGAGGGGCATGTGGGGCTTTTGGAGAGGGCGGCAGTTAGAGGGGTGGGACAGCACCCAGGCCTTCCTGGAAGCCCTCCCTGGTTCCCTCGGGTTCCCTCAGCCACCACCATAGCATAGACAGGGAGCCCCTTCCTTTTGGCCCTTCTCAGTTGCAGGGACTCACACCCAGGCACGTGGCCCCACCTCCTGCATGACGCTCTGTCTGCAGTTGTGGACAATCTTCTGCAGGCCTTTGGCAAAGTCCATCTCTGCAGGGCAGAGAAGAGGAGTCAGTGCAGAGGGGAGGGGAGCAAGGGGTACGTGAGCGGAGGGGGTCCCCTGGCAGATCTCACCCCAGGCCAGCACTCACCCAGGGCAGTCCGCTTCTCCAGGTAGCCAATGAGGTCCTTCATGTACTTCGCCATGTTCTTAGCATAGTTCAGGGCCACATCTACGCCTCCCTCACAGCGTTGCAGCAGCATGTCCACCTCCTCGGGCAGCAGGCAGCCTGCAGAGTGGCCTCTCAGCCCGGGCTCCACCCTCCAGCACACCCTCAGTCCCAGTCCTCTGCCCCTCCACCCACCAATCAAGCACATGCCCGCCCAGCGTGTGTGGCTCAGAGACTCACCAGCATCACAGTCCTCGGCGCAAGGGAGGGCGCCCTCACTGCCCTGTCCGTACAGGTTCTCCATGGACTGTGCAGGGGGAGTCCAGGTGAGCCCAGCCCTGGGCTGGGTCCCAGGTGATGTCCACCCATCAGGAGACCATCATCGCCCCCAGACAGAGAAGGCCATCCCTGCTCACCTGGCTCGAGTCCCCGGGGGGCACTGACAGGAGGGTGCTGCTGTCCACTTCACCCATGAGGAACTCAGACACCCTGCAGGGTCAGGGCTGTCAGTATCCAGAGGTACAAGGGCCCCACACACCCCTGCTCCCGCTCACAGGGCCCGCGCTCACGTGCTGCTGAAGGAGACGGCAATGGTCTCCAAGGCCTTCTCAAACTCCTGCTTGTCTGCCTCATTGTTGCACTCGTAATGGAAGGCTGGCGGGCGGAGACAAGGACGAGGAGGCTTGGCTCACTTTGGGATGTGACCACCCCTACAACTAAGTGCAGGGGGCCCTGAGCCCAGGGAAATCACTGGAGCAAGTGTGCCCATCAAACTCCTCGCTATCCTTCAAAACCCACTTCAAACATCCCCTCCTCCAGGAAGCCCTTCTAGGCAGAGAGCCCTTGCTGCTCTGTCCTGGCCAGCTGACCTTTGACCTTGGCAATGAGGGTGCCCGCAGCTGTGAGCGTTTCCACAGTGTTCAGCAGTGGGTACTTGCAGATGACCTGGCGCATCACTCGTAAGGCCTCGCCCAGGCACTCATGGGCCAGCGGCCGGCGGGCCTCCAGGAGGTCTGCGGGCAGAGCAGGTATGAGCAGGGAGGGAGTGGGTGGCCCCAGAGACAACCTGCCCACGTATTCCTCAAAGATCCTGTCCCCAGGTGGGAAAACTGAGGCAGAGGTGGGAGGGGGCAGCTGCCCGAGGCTTCCTATGGGACGTCAGGTAGGGCACTGTCCCTCTCTTGGGTGCTGGCCAGGGCAACAAAGGCCAGACCTTGGCCTAGGCAGTCCCTTCTGCTCAGAACACTTCCCTCATCCCTCCAGAAAGTAAACTGCTTGTCCTTCAAGTTGCAGTCCTGGTACCTCCTCCTTCCTGCAGCCCACCTGGCCCCTTCCCTGCCCCAACCCTTCAGGGCTGCTCAAGGCTCTATCCAGCTCTCTCCTTTCCCTGCCTGCCTGGATACCAGGCCTCAAGCACCCTGTTATCTCGCACTCTCCCAACAGCCACCCCATGACACAGGCACTGTCATCATCCCCATTTTGCAGATGAAGAAACTGAAGCACAGAGAGGGAAAGTCATTTCTCAAGGATCGCACAGCTTTTCCACCTACACTATGTTTGAAGGCATGAGAACGACACACAGAAGGACCCTGCCTGGCTTTATCTCCAGGGAAAAGGGGAACCCTAGGCCAGGGATGGTGAACCTATACACGCGTGTCAGAGGTGACACGCAAACTCATTTTTTTGGTTGACTTTTCTTTGTTAAATGGCATTTAAATATATAAAATAAATATCAAAAATATAAATCTTTAACTATGGTCGCAAATATCAAAAAATTTCTATATGTGACACGGCACCAGAGTTAAGTTAGGGTTTTTCTTTTTCTTTTTAATATATTTTATTGAGTTTTTACAGAGAGGAAAGGAGAGAGATAGAGAGTTAGAAACATTGATGAGAGAGAAACATCGATCAGCTGCCTCCTGCACACTCCCCACTGGGGATGTGCCTGCAACCCAGGTACATGCCCTTGACCGGAATCAAACCTGGGACCCTTCAGTCCGCAGGCCGACTCTCCATCCACTGAGCCAAACCGGTTTCGGCAAGTTAGGGTTTTTCAAAATGCTGACACGCCGAGCTCAAAAGGTTCGCCATCACTGCCCTAGGCGGTGATGGAGCATAGGGGGTCAAGGTTAGCTCTGTATCTTAGAACTGTGGTTTTATTTTATTTTGTTTTTTTTATTAAAAAATATATTTTATTGATTTTTTACAGAGAGGAAAGGAGAGAGATAGAGAGTCAGAAACATCGATGAGAGAGAAACATCGATCAGCCGCCTCCTGCACATCCCCCACTGGGGATGTGCCCGCAACCCAGGTACATGCCCTTGACCGGAATCGAACCTGGGACCTTCCAGTCCGCAGGCCGACGCTCTAGCCACTGAGCCAAACCGGTTTTGGCAGAACTGCGGTTTTAGATGCTCTCTTCAGATGTTCCGAAAAGCAGCATGTGCAGGCAGAACAGTGTGTGCAAAACACACCAATAAAAACAAAACCATAGCAGTGTCTGTAAGAGGAGGGGACAACTAGGTGCTAAGACCCAGGAGGCCTGGGGGCCGGCTGGGATGACAGCTTTGACACCTGTTTGCCTTCTGTCTCTGCCTGGTGGGCCTGCTCAGAACATACGTGGAACCTGAAAATAGCCTGACCCTTTTCAGCACTGAGGACCCCTTTGGATGGCCCTCGTGCCTTGAAACCTGGGGGGTCCTGACACCGAAGCCAACTCGGAGGCATAAAGGGGCTTCAGGAATCCAGGGAAGACGCTGGGGAAAGGCCAGGCCAGGCCCCTTCCCAGGACATTCCTTCCACACACCTGGCCCCTCGCCCCTTGTGTTGCCTGGCCTCAGCCACCTGCAGCACCCCCACCGGGAAGCTGACGCCAGGGAAGCCGACTCCAGAGAAGCCTGGACGTGTTCAGCTTGGCACGGCCAAGCCAAGTCCAGCAGCTGCTGCGTCCCCAAGCGCCATGTGCTCCCAGAGGGCTGGGGACCCCGCACCCTGCTCTGTCCCTTCACCGCGGGGCCCCATGCAGCAGCATACTGGTCCCCAAGACCACACACAATACGCTGAGAACACCTGGTAACAGTCACTATAAGCCTCAGGTATCTTATCTTGAATCAGGGCAACCATAAGCCCTGAGCGTATAGATGCCCTGATTCACAGATAAGACACCTGAGGCTTAGAGAGGCAGGCAGCTGGTCCAAGGTCTCACAGCTGGACAAGCAGGGGCAGCACAGGATTCAAACCCACATCCCCTCTGCTCCAGTCTCTTCCCCAGGCCCAGGACGCCTGAGGCATGATGAAGTGTGTCCCCAACCCTATCCCAACCGCCTCCAGGACTCAGCCCCACCCAGACCAGGCCTCCAAGGAAGTGCCAGAATAGGAAAGGAACCGAGATTAGCGAGTTTCCCCAGGAAAGAGCTCAGGCCCTGCCTCTGTGACCAGATAACCTTGGGGGTTCCCACTCCCACCCAGAAGGGGCTGGGCCTCTACACAGAGCTCCTCATTAGCTCCCTGAAGACACAGAGGCCACTGCAGGCTGAGGTTGGATCTGGCCCTGACCCCTCCTTAGCTGGGTGAGCCAGAGATCAGTGCCCCACTCCTGGCCTTAGTTTACCCATCTATAAAATGGGTGCCTACGGCAAGCTGGTCAGAGCACTTGGTGTGGTCTTGGCACTGTGGTTTCCGGGAGGAGCAGGCAGCACACAAGGTGCTGTGCCTGCCTGGTTTGAGGTGCCTGCTAGGGACAAACAGGAAACAGATGAAAATAACTCAGCAGGAAGCCAGGCTGTCAGTCTTGTGGAGGAGAAAACGGAACTGCCATCCCACAAGCTGCTCCCTCCTGCAGCTCACATGCTATCCTTCCTGCCCCTTGTCCCTTCTGACGCCCCATCAGACCTCAGCCTGCCTCTAGCCCACCTCGGCCCAACACACAAGTCCGACCTCTGCTCTAACACCTTCTGTGGATCCCCACTGCCCTCAGGATAATGTCCAGGATCCTTCTCCCTGTCATCCTCAATCCCTTCAGCTTCACACACTTCATATACCAGCAAATCTCGTTCCTCCAAACACAACTCCATTTCATGTTTCTGAGCCAGTGCACATGACGTCTCCTCTGCTGCAATGCCTTTCCCTCCTAGTTTCCACCAAACTCCTACACATCCCTGAAAGCCCTAGCTGCAGTGGTTGCTTCCATAAAGATGCCCTTCTGATCCTTCTCTTTACCTTGCCTGGACCCCACGGGGTTTGGGATATCTGTATCTACTTCAGTCCCCCCCGCCCCAGGCCTCAGTGTCCCTGCCGGCTCTCACCATCACGTAGAACATACTCCTTGAGCTTCTCCAGGCCCTCGGCGAAGCGGGCCACATCAACCAGGAGCTGGGAGATGTCCTCCACGGCATCGGGCCAGGGCCCCTCAACGGGTGGTTCCGCGGGGCTGGCGGCTGTCAGGGGGCTTCGGTGGCTCCGGCCAAGCGTCCAGGAAGTGGCACCGGGCAGCGGGAAGCCGGCAGCGCTGGCATGGCGGCTCAGGCTGGTGGGCCTCTTGAGCGTGCCTGTGGCCTTGGTGTTGGAGGTCACACTCAGTGGCTCCAGGCTGGGTCCCTGGTACAGAGCATCCGCCCCATCTTTCCTGGGCAGCTCCTGGAGGTGGGTGGGGGGGATGGAGGGGTAAGGCAGGTGCTCTGGCCCAGGTACTACTTCAGTTTCTTCAAAAGTGAAATGGGGTTCTGGGGGGGGTCTTCAACCTGACCTCATGAGGGTCAGAGGCCAGAGGTCAGAGGGCTGAGATTTGGGGCCATGCCCCTCCCACACCTGTTACCCAACATCCTCTTCCCCAGAGCTTTCACAAACAACGTCTACCCAAACCACAGCCAGGGGCGGGGCCTGCGGGGGCGCGGGTACCCCACTTCCTGGTGGGGGAGGGCGGGCCAGAAGAGGGTCCCAGCCCCTGTAGCCCACCTCAGGCTGTGGCAGACGCACCCAATCCCTGGTAACGACACCTCTGTCAACTCCTGGAGACCCCTGAGCCCCATAAACACACGAGGCTGTGTACACCCCCTGGGCCGGAAGGCCCTACACCCAGGGACCCTGTTAGATACTCCGCTGTACCATCGCTCTCACATCCAACAGCACCGGAGCCCCCAAATTCTGAGCCCCATCCTACAGAGCCCACACCCAAAGGTTGCCCCCACGCTGGCACCGCCACCCCACCCCCTGGGCCCCACAGCCGGCCGTGGGCCAGATGAGGGAGGCCATGGCCACCCCAAAGGCCTCCTACCATGAGCCGAATGCCAGGGTCCTGGCTGGACCTGCGCGGCCCCTGCAGCCCTGCCTGGTGGGGGCTGTAGCTGGCGTGCGCCCCCCATCGCAGGCCCGGCATGTTGCTTCTGGGCAGAGGGCACACCCTGTCCCCCTGTGGCCCCAAGGTCCCCACCCGCTCCTCCTCCCCATAGAGGCTCACTCACTCCCGAGGGCTGCGGGCTGGGGCTTCCCGCCCGGTTCTTTTTCGAGATCGAAGGGGTTTTCATGAGTTCGCGCTTCTTCCTGGAGAACATGGTGGGGCCAGCAGAGCAGCGCAGGCAGCAGGCGCGGGTGGAGCAGCCGGGGGTCTCGGCGCCGCAGCTCCGGGAGCTGACCACCTCAGGACCACATAGTCCCCAGCCACCCCCTCCCCAGCTGTCAGGCCCACGTGACAGGCCCAGCCCTCATTGGCCCGCCCTCCCCCCACAGGAAAAGGCCTCCGGAGGTGGTGACGCAGACCCACCCCTCCAACCTCCAACCTCCCGGGCCTCAGCCTGCCCCTCCACAGAGTGGGCTTGAAGGAGGGGTCCCAGGCCCCGCCCCCGCCCCGCCCCCAGCCCAGGCCCCGCCCCCAGTTTCCACTTTTAGGAGCTCTGCGTGTGCATTGGACTGAGCGCCCCCTGTTGGCATGGTGGGGCACAAGGAAGCACAGGCTGACTGTTCAGACTCCGACCCTTATTCAGACACACCCAGATGCAGGCAGGAGTACACTGACAGGGGCAGGAGCAGCACAGGGACACCGAGCCATGGGCTCAGTGACATGGGAATAGACTCGCTCTCGGGCACAGTGACATGCAGGGACACGGATGCACACGCATGCTCAGACGACAAAGCTCTGCAGATGAAATGGATGACCTGGAGCTTTGCAGTCAGACCTGGGACACAGACACCCTCCCTCCAGTCCCCACCCTATGTCCCTGGCAACCCCTCACCTTCGTAGGCCCCAGGGCCTGGGCTCCACAGGGCATAGCAGGTCACTCCCTCAGCCTGGCGTCTGCACTGGCCTCGGCTCATCTCCCTACCCCCATGCCCCACCCTACCTTCCAGGGACACACAGGCTGATCGCGGACATGCTGGGTAGCGGGGCTGATGACACTCCTGAGGCCACCCCGCACCTCCTCACATCCTGGTATCAGCCATGTGTCCAGAACCCCGCCTCCCTCCCTCTGCCCTCCCTGGACCCCCTTCCCCTCCCCCATGACCACCTGTTCTTTTGGAGCCTCCCCAGCCTGGGTCCTCTCCCCCACACTTCCAGAGACCCACCCCCCAACCCCCAACTCCCTTACCCAACACCAACCCTCATTGACCTCAGGCAGGAAGAGTGGATCTCCTGGGCACAGGGCATGTGGGCTGCAGCTCCTTATGCCAAACCCAGCCTCCAGGCCCAGGCCCATCTGCACACCCAGCTGAGAAGTCCCTTCTGCCCACCACTCATTGCTCCAGGGGCCAAGACCAGGTGGTAGGGGCAGACTGGCTAGCTGGCGAGCTTCCGGCCTGGGCAGCAAGCCTGAGGTCCCGATATCCCAGCCCGCTTCCCTCCCACCCCCACTGGACTTCTCTAAGCTGCTCTGGACATTCCCACGCCCTGCCTCATGCCCACTTCATGGCCAGGCACTCACTGGGACTGTCCTCAGGCACCAGACCCACGTGGGCACTAGGGACCCTGGGACTAGTGTCCAGGTTCTATGAAGCCCACATGAAACCCACTTCCCAGGCCCACCAGACGCCTTCCCAGCTGGGGGCCCAGGCAGCTGGAGCTGGGTTCTCGCCTGTGCCCTATGAGTTGCATGTGTCCACAAGCCCATGCATGCACACACTCCAGCTGGATCCAGATGAGTGCACAGAGCCATCTGTGGACACACGTGCAGCCCAGCACACAGACATACGTGCACAGTTCCACAGGATAGCTTCTTTTTATTTCCTCCGGCAGAACAGGCCCTCTGGGAGCCAGCTCCAGGCCCTCTGTCCTGCCTTTGTCACTCCCAGGGCCTCCCTCCAGGCCCACAGAGGAGGGAGGCTCAGAGCACTGTCTCCGTCATGTGGCGGTCATCCAGGAACCGGGTGAGGAGTTTGGGGACCTGTGGGCCTAACCCAGGGTCCACCCCCACGCCTGCTTCCTGGTGATCCGCCTCGGTCTCCTCCTTGCCCTGGTTCTCAGAGAAGTACAGGAATACCTAGCAGGTGGGTAGCCCGAGGGAACAAGAGGGGAAGTCAGCTTGAGAGCCCAGCCCCCAGCCCCACCGTGGCCTCCAGCCCCTCCCGGGCGGGCGCTTTGGGCACCTCCTCCAGCTTGGTCTGGTTCACTGAGAAGTCCTCCACGCCTTGCTCTGCCCCGTGTGCAGCCAGCTCTTCAAAGACATGCGCTAGGGTGCAGCGCCCCCCTGGTGGCAGCTGGAAGCGCAGGCGACTTCCGTGAGCCTCCCGCAGCTCAGCCCCTGGGAACGCAGCTGCCACGAAGGCCATCACTGGCTCAGACTTCCCCATGGGCACTCGCAGGGTCAGCGTGTGGCCGGCACCGAATCTGGTGGTGAAGAAGGTGGTGGTGAAGGGAGGGTTGTGGGAGGTCATGGGGGATGGGGGATTGTGAAGGCGGGAGTTGTGGAGGTTGGGGGAGGGGGAGGACACACCTACAGCCCAGCCCACCCATCCCACCCTCCTCCTCTCTTCTGGCCCCACCCTCAATGCCAGGCCCCTCTTGACCCCCTACCCAGCACACGTGACCCCAACCCTGATCCTCCATGTCCTTTAACCAGTTGACTGCCACGCATCCCCACTGCGTCTATAGACGCTCGTGGCGTACAAAGGGTTAAAATGCTCATTCCCTTCTCCAACCCTTCCTCTCCCACGGCTCCACCTCCACCTGACTCCCCTACTCACCTGACCCTCCTCAACCTCAACCCATGGGCCCACCCTTACCCATAAGACTCCAGCCCACCTGGCCCTGACATGCCCCCTCAACATCTCCCCTGGACAGTCCATGACCCTCAGCTCCTCACCTGTTAGAGCCAAGCCAGCCCTAACCTTAGTCTCTCTCCTGGCCCCACCCTCCTCTAGCCTCTTCCTGCCCCAACACCAGCCCTTGAGGGCTGGCCCAGCTCACCTGCCCTTGAGGTGCTGCGGGCTCCCCAGGCAGTGGAACCGCCCATTCACCATGATGGCCAGGCGTGTGCAGAGTGCCTCACACTCCTCCATGCTGTCAGGGCCAAGTGCTGTGAGCTCCGGCCGGGCCCAGACCACCCACCCTCCCGGCCAGGGCCAGGCTTCCACTCTGAACACGTGCAGCTGGGCCCAGACCGCTCAGTTCCCGGGTTTGCCCCGTGTCCTCACACCCGCCCCAGGGTCAGGACCACCCATCCCGTGTAGCCCTAAGCCCTGAGTGACAGCCTCTCACTGGGGTCTGCCTCGCTCCCCAGAGCCTGGATGGGGGGGTGGGGGGGGTGAAGGTGGGGAGTTGTGGGGGTTGGGGAAGGGTGACTAGACACCCTGACCCACAGCCCCGACTCACGCAGGGCCCACCTGTGCGAGGTGAGCACCACGGAGCGGCCCTTCCGCACCACAGCCAGGAGGCTGTTCCAGAGGAAGCGCCTTGCACTGGGGTCCATGCCGGTGGTCGGCTCATCCTGGGAGGAGGCAGGGGTAGACTCAATAAGACTGGCCCTGCCCCGCCCCGCCCCGCTCCACCCTCACCCAGGCCTCAGTGCACACCCACCAGAAAGACCATCGTCGGATCTCCCACCAGGGCCACAGCTGTTGCCAGTTTCCGCTTGTAGCCGCCACTGTAGGTACCCACGGGCTGGTCGGCATAATGCTGGAGCCCCAGATTCGCCAGGCTCAAGCTTACTGTCTGTGGGCAGGCAGGGGAGGGGAAGTGTGACTGTGGGAGGACCAATTAAAGTTGAGGGGGCCAGAGTAAGCAGGGAAGGCCAGTTAGCACGGAGAGCCAGAGTTAGCATGGGGGCGGGGGGGCGAGTAATTGTGGGGGACCAGAGTCAGAAGGGGGCCAGCGTGAATGTGGAGGGACCAGGGTAAGCAGGTAGGACCAGAGTAAGTGTGGGGACCCAAGTGAGCAGGGGGGACCAGAGTGAGCCAGGAGGGCTAAAGCGAACTGGGGGGGAGGGGGCAGATGAACAGGGGGGGCCAGAATGAGGGTGGGGCCAAAGTTAACAGGAGGATCAGCGTGAGCAAGGTAACCAGAGTGAGTGGGGGACCAATGTAAGGAGGAGACCAGAGTGAATGAGGGGGAACCAGAGTGAGCAGGTGGGGCCAGAGTTAACGTGGGTGAGGGAGCCTGAGTGGTGGGTCCGTGTGAGCCAGGGGGATCCCGCGTGTATGTGGCAGGGATCAGAGTGTGTGGGGGGGACCAGAGAGAACAGGGCGGACCAGAGAGAACTGAGTAGATGGGGTCCTACCCAGGTAGCTCAGTTGGTTAGAGCATCGTCCCAATAAACCACGGTTGTGGGTTCAATACCTGGTCTGGGTATACATAAGAATCAACCAATGAGTTGGTAGAGAAAACTGGTAAATCCACCCACCGATTTTTGGAATGTCTCTAGCTGGGTACATTTTTTCTTCTCTTCATGTAGTTACAGAGGTACCTAGTTTATATAGCTGGTATATTGTGCGCTGCTTGCTGGAAAGTTTAGTTTGGGCTCAGTTTGCTGGGGGTTGGATGGAGTGCTAAAACTACCTTTCTCCTAAAACACTAGCCGGTTGCTCAGTGGTTAGATCGTTGGCCTGAAGACTGAAGGGTCGCTGGTTCTCTTCTGGTCAAGGACACGTATCTCAGGATTTTAGGCTTGATCCCCAGCCAGGAGGCAACCAATTAATGTCTCTCTCTCTCTCTCTGTATCTCCCCCTCCCTTCCACTCTCTCTAAAAATCATTGAAAAAAATATACTCAGGTGAGGAATGACAAAAAAAAGAACAACTCACAAAACACTCGACAGGCAAAGGCAGGTAAGGGGGAGGAAGGAATGGTCACTCTCGTACTTCAGAGAAGTGTGGTGCACCAAGCCTATGGGAAAATGTCATTCTTCAGGGGGGTAGGTGTGGTAGCAGGTGGATTCATTCTTGCCAGGTATTCATTCCTTCGTGTACACATCTGACAGGTATTTATTGATTGCCTACTGTGTACATGTTACTGTGCCCTACGATGCCAGATTTCATACTCAACCAGTTCTGGATCCAAATATTAATAAAATAGACTTTCTCCTCTTAAATAAAAAAGAATTAACTAATGAGTACATAAATAAGTAGAATAACAAACCAATGTTTCTCTCTCTAAAATAAATTTTGAAAAAAGTGAGCAGTGAGAATGGGGGGAACCATGTAAGGAGGGGACCAAAATGAGTATGGGGGGTCAGGACGAGAGTGAATGGGTAGGGGGAGCGTT